TTTTCCTTTTAATAACATCTTGGTGAGAAACATAAAAATAATAGTTTAATATGATCGTTTATTTCACATTGTCATTTTGTTTGAAAATGTTTTTATATATTTCAAAATGAAGTTACACAACCTTCTTCTAATAATTATGAATCATCTAATGAAATGAATCTTATTACATTTATTAAAATTGGGAAAACATACATTTTTAGGTTTGGCTAATTAATTATTCTCGATTTAAGTTAATTGCATGATTTAACAATGCACATTTTATATTAGGGGTGAGTATTTTCTGATAGAGGTTAGGTATGAGATATATTTGGTATTTGACTTGAAAATTTTCGAGTACAGTGTTTCAAACTTGGTACTTATCCAAATTAAATACTTAAATACTTATACTTGATATTCAACCCAACACGTACTACGTAATTTGCATATATATACTTATGTACTTGTTAAATGATATTTTGTTTTAATTTTTTTTTCAAATTAAAATTTAGTAAAATATTGTTTACTTTCAATTTAAATTTAAATAAGACTAGTCAATTGTTAATAAAATATTGTTTATTACAATCTAAACTTAAACATAATCTATAATAACAATAGATAATTAAAATTTAGTTTTATATCTAGAACTTAAATCTACGTATTGTTTAAAAATTAAACTCAATTAAATAATTAACAATAAAGAGCAAAAAATATGTGCCCAAACAATAAAGAATAAAAACAAAATAAATAACAAATAAAAACAAAATAAATAACAAAATAAAAGTCATTCAAAGAAAATGCATAGGTTTTTAGGCTTACAGTCCCCTTAATCCTCTACTTCGGTTTATTAGAAAGAAATAATTGCTGATGGTATTATATCTATTTTAATATCATGATACTCATACTTTTGATTTATGATTTTTTTCATATTAAATTTAGAGTTTAAAACTAAAAAATTATCTATATAATAAACAAAGACTATGACTCCAAAATTATTAATGGACAAGTAAAAAGAAAGTTAAAAAGAATCAAACTTTGAAGTTATGAGTATTCACCATTGTCTAAGAGTGTAAGGAAGAAAAAAAAGTTGTTGGTTGCATATGTAATATGTACTTAGTTTAGGATTTGTTATTTATAGACTAAGTGTGTGATTTCTTTTATTTTTAAATTTTATTTTTTTTATTTTTAAAAATTGTTTTATATAGATATTAAGTATGCTAGGTAAATATAAAATTTCAATTATACAAATACATATAATATATTAGTTAAATAAAATTGTTAAAGAGATCAAATAAACAATTCTAAACTATTAAACTTATTACTTGACTTAATACTTACAAATGTATTACTTTCATATCCATTACTTACTAATTTTTTTTTATAATTTAGATAAAATATTTATCTAAACTGAAAAATACTTATAAATAACGAATATATCCATACCTAACGAAACTGAAAAATACTTATAAATAACGACTATATCCATACCTAACGATCACCCCCTATTCTCCATTTTATTTCAATTCAGCGCAAAATGATACTTATCAACAACCATAATAAAATAGAAACTTTTTGAATCATGAAATAAAATAATATGGAAAGTGTTCATCTATAGAAAAATAAAGCCAAAAAAATTTCAAAACTTCTATTGGAAATATTAAATAACATATTTATGGTAAAAACAAAGACTATTTTAATATTTTTGCACCTAATAATAATAATAATAATAATAATAATAAAATTCATAGAAATTAGAAACCGACGGTTTGATGTTGAAAAAAGAAACACAAAAAAACAAAAAGGTAAATGATGCGTTCCCCAACATGAAGATCTCGCGCTTTCCAATCCAAGCCTGCAATATTATAATTATTATTTCCCAAAAAAAAGAAAACACCATAACACCTTCTTCGGGCCCAAAAAAAAAAAGCGGCTTCTTCCTCTTCTTCTTCATTGGCAGATCTGCAATGCGTCGATCTTCTCTCTGTTCTAACGTAAACTGTAAAAGCTTGTGATCGAATCTTAACCTAATAACCTACGCCACATAGCAAATCTCTCAATTTCGGAAATCATTTAGAATGCTGGCTGTTCTTGTTCTGAATCTCTTCGCAATCGCAGGTAACTAATCCTTTGGTTTATTTTTTGAATACTTGATCAATATTTTTGATTGAGGAATGCTAAGATTTGATAGAGTTTTGGATGCTGAAGGGAAAAGCTGAAGGTGTCGACGAGGTATGAGACGAAGAAGAGTATTTGGGTCTGAGATTTCACAGTAAGTGTTCATGGACCTTGGCGAGTCTGCACAGCGGAGTCCTCCAGCTGTGGGATTACAGGATCGGAACTCTTATTGATCGACTCGACGAGCGCAATGGACCTGGGCTTGGCGTTCATTTCCACCACGTCCAGCCTCTCTTGGTCTCTGGAGGTATAATTCTCCGCTACCTGCTGAATTGAGCTCTCTTGATTTTCTAGTTTATTTCTATGTTCTTCTCATTGTTTTGTTTGCAAATCTAGTTCGGTGTCTGTCTTTGAAGGAATGCGACAGCTGCTTGTTGTTTCTTCATTTCTTTCTGTATGAATCAGTCAGCGCAGTGTGTGTAATTTATTTGTGCATTCGGAATGTTTAAGCATGCGTGCTGATCTTATGATTCAAGATTTATAGAATTGAAAGAGAGAAGCAAAACTGCAATTCTAGAGTTAGATTAGGACTTGTATTTTTTAATCAAAATTCAAAAGTTTTAGTTAGTTGGTGAAAATTATGTATGAGAACTTAAAGTGCAGATATCATATTGGTGCATATTGTGATCTATGCCAGTAGAGGATGAATGGAACATAAAACTAGGTGATTATTGTTTATTAGTTTTTGGCATATCTAGTTGGACTTTTAGATAGTGTGATTTGATTGTGCTTATGTTCTGAACACAATGTGGTTCTTAGTGATTCACTTTTCCTTATTATTTATTTATAGAGCTATTGGAGTAGCTTTTTGTTCATTTAAATTCTTGTTCATTCCAGGGTATGATTACAAGATCAAGGTGTGGAATTATAAGTTGCATAGGTGTTTTTTTACCCTTCTTGGTCACCTAGATTGTTAGTACAAGTGATGACTAAACAACCAGACTATGGAACTGGCAGCATCGGACTTGTATCTCTGTATTGACTGGACACAAACATTATGTTATTTATGCTTCTTACCATCCAAAAGAGGACCTGGTTGTATCAGCATGGATCAAATGGTTCATGTATGGGACATTGGTGCTCTTAGGAAGATAACAGTTGCCCCTGCAGATGATGTCATGTGGTTGAGGCAGTTGAGCGAGATGAACACAGATTTCTTTGGTGGGGTTGATGCTTTTGTTAAGTATGTCTTGGAGGGTATGATGATCATGGAGTTAACTGTGCTTCAATGTTCCATCTCTCCCTCCCTGCAATTGTCTCAGGTGCAGATGATAGGCAAGTAAAAATTTCGAGAATGAATGGTATGTCTTCGAAAACTTGTTTGAGTCTTTTGCTTGTGAAATCATTAACTCCCAGAAGAGCTACTGACCACCACGTCTGCTCCTGAACAAACTACCATATGAAATTGCTTCTATAGTAGTTTTTGAACATATTTATATATACAGTCATATATAGTTGCTGGCAAAAAATTATAAATGCATATTTAGATTTGTATTTTTGTCCCAGTCTAGAAACATAAGCAGAAAACCACTAGAATGATGGCAATCATGTCATATGTATTTAAAAGGAAATGGCATTAGTAATTGATCAACTTAAGTATTTCATCAGAATTACAGGACCAAATTAATGTCAGTGTCTCTAACGATGTCACTGCCTGGAACATGACTTTTCTGCTTGTCATGTCTGCTACTTGCCAGTAGAGTTTATATAGTTTGCAGATTTGAATTAACTATGTTGGATTTCCAACTTTTCCATTTCAGATACAAAGGCATGGGAAGTAGACACTGTGAGAGGGCACATGAATATTGTGTGTGTTCTATTTCATGCAAGGCAGGACATTATTGTGTCTAATTCAGAGGATGGGAGCATTCATGTATGGGATGCTACGAAGTGGACTGGTCTTCAGACATTCCACTGGAACATGATAGGTTATGGATTCTTGCAGCTCATCCTGAAACGAACCTTTTAGCTGCTGGCCATGATGGTGAAATGATAGTGTTCATATTTGAGAGGGAATCCAGCTTTTGTGGTTTGTGGAGCAACCTATGTACCCATATTCCTGGGACAAAAGGATGTGTCAAACCCTTACTGCAGTTTACCGTTTGTTCCATCTCTGGAAGGGCAACTTGTGCCATTTGTAACCTTGCAGTGGTTGGATCAGATGCATCAGGGTTACTCCGCTTTCCAGCCCAAATAAGATGATCCAAATTGGAATTTAGGACAATTTTCACCTTTCAGCACCGGCATTGCTATTGGACCCAGTTATTTGTTTACTACTCTGATTCTGTTTAGTTCTTTTAAACTGTTCATTTGTATTTTAAATCTGTTTAACATTTGATTTTTGTTCTGGGTTTTCAGCATTCAACACCTAATAAAAGAACATTCTGCATGTTTACGAATTGAATAACATTAAATTGTTTACTTCTTGGGTGAGATTGCAGGTTTGATATAAATCTTCAGTTGGCGTTTCTTGTGTCAGGTCAAGCACTGTTTGTGCTAGAAGATAGTGTAAGCTTTACCCAACCTTATGCCTGATGGTTCTCTATTCTCACGGTGTGGTATGCTTTACCATCTTTTATGCTCATGGCATTATTAATTTATTGTTTGTAACATTTTGAAATCAGTAGTTTTGATTTGTTTTCTCTAATTCTTTAATTTACAACTACTTTTCTATATGGTCTTATGCATTTGCTGAAACCCCTATGTTTCAATTGGAAGCACTGCTCTGTTTTGTTTGTTGAGAGCTTTCGTCAATTATTGAGCTATATATCTGATGTCCCTCTGTGCACTGCTAAAGGTGCCCTATCTTCAAACTCTTGATCGATACAAATATAAATCTTTTTGTGCTGTTTTCTTTTACTTTTATGTATATAAACTTTTTGATCTGTCGTTCTATTTTTGGTAGAATTTTGATCTTTATTTGAGTGAAAGTAAGGACCACCATGTTCAGCCATATGTTCATGGAGTCTAGAATTTAAGATGAGCTTTAATCCGTTTTCTAATTTTTCAGATATCTTTTATATTGTTAATTTGACAGCGTTCAACTTCTTCATTCGCCAAAGAAAAAGGATGGGTTTTTAACAGCAAGCTGTCTTTTTATCTTATTTGCAAGCAATTCTCAAGAGGATTTTGCTTTTTCAAAAGCTCTAATTTTGCCCAAGACAAGAGAACAAAGTAATGAGGACATAGGACGGAGTCTCTAGGCTTGTGCAGAAGGTTGGAGTAGGCACGTGATAGAGAGAGTTTGCAACCTTTCTTGAGACATAATGTCTTGCAAGCCCAATACACCAATAATATGCGTAAAGGGAAACCTACATGCTCTCTATAAATTTAAACCCCCATAATGTCCAGCACATGTCACCCGTGTCCCCTCTCTACTGGACCCACTCTACGGCATGGACCATAACCCCACTCTTTTTATACTTCTACGTTACATTTTCTAGAAACGTTCTGAGTCTGAATTTGAATAAAGTATTTGACGAAGACCACTCTCTAAGAATAGGGTTATTATTGTTAACAAATTAAATAATTAAATAATTATTTTTTAATAAAAATAAAAAATTTTAAATTTTAATTATATGATATATGAATAAAATAGGTTAGAAGGTGATAGATGACTAAATTTAATAAATAATTTATTAATTATTGATTTTTTACTTATTTTGTTTATTAACTATTTTTTTGTATCTAACTAATTTATTAACTTTCAAAATTGTATTATATTAGTTTAGGCTGTTAAAGTCACTTTCATGGGACTAACGGAAATCCACACTGGCACCCATATGGCAGCCACATAGATGTCACGCAGTCAAACAATCAATGTTTTAAAAATGAGTTTTTAATTTTATTCAATTAAGTTCCCAAACAAATTTTTACGTTCTTCTAGTCTTAGTTTTATTTTTTTATAAGGATCGGTTTCAAATTTATTAATTTAATTTAATTAAAAAAATCATTAGTTTAATTAAATTAGTTAAATTTCAAGTTAGACTTATAATAAATAAATAAAATTTAAAATTTTTATTAAAAAAAAGGACAGTGAAGGAGACCTTGATTAAAAGTTAGATGGGACTCTCCTTTTACCATAATTTAAAGTTTAATTGATTAGAAAATTAATTTTAATAATTAAAAGTTTATATTTTATAATATTAATTTGGTTAACCATGCGTGGCGCCTATGTAGCGGCTAATTTCGGACCACATGGGTGTCAATTTGAATTTCAGTTAGTCTTATAGATTGAGTATTAACGAACTAGATAAATATGATATATATAATTTCAAAAGTTATTAAACTACTTAGATACAAAATATAGTTAATAGATAAAAAGACAATAATTAATAGATTATTTGTTAAATTTAGCCAATGAAAGATGGTTGCTTTCATGCAACCCCAAATCAAGGGAAAAAAGAAAAAAAAGAGAGAAAAGAATAGGGTCTCATTTAATAGTTCTAATTTTACTATTGAAGCTATAAAACTGTTTTTTATGTATTTTATACATATGATTATAGACTGTATAAATGTAATTCCTTGAGCAAATTTTTTTTCCTAATTCATCCTTCAAGTTTAAATTCAAAATTTCGAATGCAGAAGTCTTAATTTATAAGGTTGGGTCTATTATAGGAGGCATATAAATTATACTCACTCCGTTTATTTTTTAAATATATTTAATTTAAATTTTTTTTTTACTTTTAAAATATAAAATTTAGATGAAAATTTAATTATTTATATAAATAATAATTGAAATTTTTTTATCCCTATATATAATTATTGTTAAATATTTTTATTTAATTAAAATAATTTTAATTATTATTCATATAAATTATTTAATTTTTATTTAAAATTTATATTTTAAAAATTAAAAATAAATAAAAAAGTATAATAGTTTTATTTGATTTAATTATTAAAAAACATTTCATTGTTATTTCCTTTAGTCAATTGTTCTCTACCCACTAATTGTGGCAGTAAATGGCTGACGATGACCCTAAAACTGCATCCAGAGTTTCTGAGAAGCTCGGCGGTATAGGGCATTAGGGTGGAGGCTAAAAAAAACTGTTAGGCTTTTTTTTTTTTGGGTACAGTCTGAATCTCTTAGGCTTTTTATCCTGGTGAAAGGAGGAAATTTGTCTAAAATGATGGAGGGACCCCCACCAGGACAGGCATAGTATTATTTAGCGGAGCATATCTAGGGTTTCTTCTGCCCATCTTTTCATAAATCTCTGAATTTGGATCTTAATATATTCCAGTGGGATCTTTGTGAAATCACGTGAAACTTATCATTTCAAATTATAGATAGGATACGAATGCCATTTTTCATTTCCCTTTTCCCTCCCCTAAAACTGATACTAATGGCCTCCTTGCTCAGGGCCCTTAGGCAGCTTCTTCTACTAGGTCAAGTTGTCAAGTGTCAAGACTCACCTGGACATTTTCGAAACCTACCCCATCTAGAAACCAAACAACAATTTACAGTTTTTCTTTTTTTGTCTTTTAAACGTGGATCATGCTAAACAAGATCATATTACCAAGATTCAATTGAGTACCCAATACCAATTTTTTTTTTTTTTTCCCTTTTGCCAAATATTCAATTTAGTGCGTGAGTTGTCTAGCAAGTCTTACAAAAGAAACCTTGTCATCGCTACGAATAAAATCATGGATTCTTCTTTGACCGTAACTATTTCCGTGTTGAATTTCCACTCTTTCATCTTGACTTTAACGCTATGTGATCTTAGTAGGCATGATATTAATTTTTCTTGCTAAAAAAGAAGGTAAATGTACTAAGCATGCTATTAATTTAACATCTTTTCGAAATTGGGTCATGGTTTCAAACTTTCCCATGTTGAATCTTTCCGGACATAAAAAACATTTTGTTATTCGCGATTAAGTGACTAAACACAGCGCTTTTTTTTTTTTTTCCTCTCTTTTTACCAGTGGACGGAAAGCTAATGCGACCCCAAAAGAGCATCACAATCACTGAATTATTATTTTCACTTTTCCCATTATGGACGGCTAAGCACATCTGACACCTTAATTTGTCGCCCCTTGATGATTATTTTCCACATGACTAATCCCACTTACCAAAGTTTAGAACAAAAAAAAAAATCCCTTGAAACGAATAGAACTACTTAAGAAACATCACATCTCATGAAATATAATATTCCAAATTAATTTGGACCTTTAATGTGATTGGTGGCATGGTAAACGATTTTCCTCCTTCCATTGAAGTGGAATTCTTGTGTTGAATGGAAAGGGACGAGGCGAGTCAACAAGAAGAAAGCGGAGCACAGGGCTCGAGAGTGAAAGAAAGAGACACAATTATTGAGACCTCTCTGCCTCTCAAATCAATCCTCACTACGTACCCAATTTGGCAAATTATATAAGCAGGATTGAAACCTCAAGGAATATTAGGTGCATTTATAAACAAATATTATATATTTTATAGTTTAATTCAAGCTTAAGTATCATTATTAAGATTTAAAAGAAATTGAATTTTTTATTAAAATACATATTGTCAATATAACAAATCATTTTGTAAAATTTTATTTTGAATTACGTGTAAATTAATTATAAAACAACTTGATTATTCAAATAAAAAAATATAAACAGATGGAATTTACCTTTACTTTTAGCAACCGAAAGAAGGTGAATAATGGTTTTCCTTTCTTTTTTTTCTTTAACACAAACCTAAATTAATGATACTTTCACTCAATTTGAGGAGGAGATTGTATTTCAAACTTTCAATGCTTGTATCATTATTCCCACTTGAAATCCACTCTGAAAATATGAATCCCACCCAAGGAATTTTTTTGGTTTATAATTTAATTAATTTTAGCTTAATGATTACCGTAAGAACCTTACACAATACCAATAATATGTCATGATTCATTGCAACAAATTGTTCACAATAAAACGTTAATAAATATTGCTTCTATTTTTAATTATTTCCATGTTGTTTTTCCCAAAAAAAAAAAACTAATTAATTCTATATATTGTGTGAATCCCTCGTTATTCCTTCTCAGTTATTTACCAAAAAAGAAAAAGAAAAAGAAAATAAAAGTTAAAGAAACAACAAAACAATTCATCTCCTTAAAAATTGTGGGGAGAAAGGAGAACTTGTAGTGTAAGAAGAGAAAGCAAAGAAACGTAGCTTTCATCGTATATCTCGAACAAGACAAGGGGTACCTGAAGCTTTTGGTGTCTGCTGCAAAAGGCAATTTTATTTTTATGTTTCTAAATCTCCATCAAAGTTAGCAGTTTCATTATGTCTTCTTTAAACAAACTCAATCCATTAGCAGCTACAGTAGAAAC